GCTGTCCTTGAAACATGGGGAGACATGATAGCAGTGTTCCAATATCTGAGGGGCTGCCACAAAGGAGCCAAGCTATTCTCCAAAGCACCTGAGGGCAGAACAAGGAGCAATGGTGGAAACTAATCAAGGAGAGAAGCAACTTAGAACTAAGGAGAAATTTCCTGACAGTTAGAACAATTAACCAGTGGAACAGAAGTTGCCTCCAGAAGTTGTGAATGCCCCAACACTGGAGGTCCTTAAGAAGATGCTGGATATCCATTTGCCTGGAACGGTATAGGGTTTCCTGCCTAGGCAGAGGGTTGGACTAGAAGACCTCCAAGGTCCCTTCAGACTCTGCTAGTATATTGTACTGTATTGAACATTTTAAAATGTTATCACAAACATCATTATTATTACTATTACTATTATTAACATTTTATAGTATTATTATTATTGTTTAAAAAAACCTTGCCAGTCCAATGAAGAGAAATTTGTTTGCAGAATGGGATATATTTCCTGCAAAACCTCCCTCGCATTTCAAGCGATGATCAATCAAGTATTAATATTCCGACAGTCCTAGCGGGAAGAAACTGATATCTGCTAAACGGAAGAGATGTTAGTCGCTACCCTACCCTTGCAACGCGAATAATTTAGCGGCTGTTTGAAGCGAAGGCAGCGCTGAAAAAAAAAAGAGGGGCGTTTTTCACAGTGACGACCGTCGTAGCCTCCCCCTTAGTCCTGCGATTAAAATTCAGACGCTTGGCAGCGGGATCGTACTTATCACAGCGTCCCAGGGTCACGCAATCCCCTTTTGTGACTTTGCGATGACCGCTAGACCCCCTTAACGACCATATTGCTAACTTTTCAACTGTAGGGATTCACTTCGCAAAAGTTGTAAATTGGGGCCAAACTCACTTAACAAATGTCTCCCTTAACGACGGAAACGTTGGGCTCCATTGTGGTCATAAATCGAGGACTGCCTGTATTGCCAATGTTCACTACAGGGATTTGCTTCCCTTAATGACCATGTTCCCGACATCAACTACATTCACTTAACAACAAGAAAGGCCACAAACTGACTGAAACAATGTCTCGCTAATTTGTGACTCTGTCGTGGCCGTGAAGTCGAGGGCTAACTGTAGCATGTCTGCCTGGTGACGAATGAAATCGCCAAGG